TTTCTTTTCTTTTCTTTTCTTTTCTTTTCTTTTCTTTTCTTTTCTTTATCTCTTTGGGATACAGACCTAGTAGAGCGCGGCCAAGGGATATGCACAGCTATAGCCCTTTGGCATAATTCCAAATTATTCTCCAGAATTGTTGAAACAGTTCACAATTCTAACAGTTCATTAGTTTTTTCCTCCATCCCCTCCAGCATTCATCTTTTCTGATAAGTGTAAGATGGTGTACCTCAGAGTTGTTTTAATATATATTTCTTTAATAAATAGTGATTTAGAGCGTTTTTGCATATGACTATAGATAACTTTGATTTTTTCATAAAGCTGCCTGTCCATATAGTTTGACCACTTATCAATTGGAAGTGGCTCTCATTTTTATAAATTTGACTCAGCTCTATACCCAGTATATATTTGAGAAGTGAAATCTTTATCAGAGAAACTTGCTATAAAATTGTTTTTTGTATTACTTCATTGTCTGTGGTACCTTTTAGCAAATGTAGTTTCCCAGGTTCTCTTTTGATTAGGTCTATTTTTGCTTTTGCTTGGTCCTCGATCATAATTGTCACCCCTGCCTTTTTTTACTTCTGCTGAAGCACATAAGATTCTTCTCCAGCCCTTTATTTTAATTCTGTGTGTCTTTGTTTTAAGTGTATCTCTTATAAACAACGTATTGTTGGATTCTGGTTTCTAATCCAGTCTGTTATCTGCTTCCATTTTATGAGTGAGCTCATCTCATTCACATTCACAGTAATGATTACTAGCTGTGTATTTCCTTCCGTCCCATTGTCTTCTATTTCTCTCTCTCTTTTTTTTTAATCTTGTCCCTCCTCAAAAGTCTGTTTTGTTTCTAACCACTGCATCCCTTAATCCACTCTCCCTTTTATCATTCCCTGCCCACCCTTCCTCTTTCTCTAATCCTCTTCCCCTCCTGTTTCCCTATTGGGGGTGTGTGTGTGTAGGGGGGGTATGTGTGTACATATATATATATATGTATATACACATGTATATGTATTTTAATATATATTATAAATTTAACATGTATATTATATGTGTATGCGTGTATATGTATGTATGTGTGTGTATATATATCTGTATCTATATCTATATCTATATATATCTTTATTCTTCCTTATTTGAACTGATTCTAATGAGAGTGATATTCAGGCTTTGCCTGCCCCAGTTGGAGGGGGTGGCATTTTACTTTCCATTGTAAAGCTCTTCCTTGTGTACCTCTTTTTATGTGAGAAACATTTCCACATTCTACCTCTTTCTTCTTCTAATGCATCCCTCTTCCTTCTCCCTTCATGTTTTTGGAGATCATTCCAACATAATCGACTCACACATGTCCTCTGTCCATGTAAACTCCTTTTAACTGCTGTAATAATGATAAAGATCTTAGTTACATAATCATCTTCTCTTGTAAGAATGCAAACAGTTTAACTTTATTGAACCCCTTATGATTACACTTTCATATTTACCATTTTATGCTTCTCTTGAGTCTTGTTTGAATGTCAGATTTTCTATTCAGCTGTTCTTTTCATCAGGAATGCTTGAAAGTCCTTTATTTCATTGAATGTCTATTTTTTCCCCTTGAAGGGTTATATCCATTTTTGCTGAGTAGATGGTTCTTGGTTGTGATACTAGCTCCTTTGCCTTCTGGAATATCATATTCTAAGCCCCTCTGCTTGTTTAACATGGTAGCTGCTGAATTTTCTATGATCCTGATTATAATATTTGAATTATTTCTTTCTGGCTGCTTGCAATATTTTCTTCTTGACCTGGGAACTCTGGAATTTGGCTATAAATAAAATAAAAATAAATTTGGCTAGGAGTCTTCATTTTGGGATCTCTTTCAAGAGGTGATTGGTGGATTCTTTCAATTTCTATTTTACCCCCAGAATCTAAGATATTGGGGCAGTTTTCCATGATCATTTCTTGAAATATGATATCTAGGCCCTTTCTTTGATTATGGCTTTCAGGTAGACCAATAAGTCTTAAATTATCTCTCCTTGATCTATTTTCCAGGTCACTTGTTTTTCCAATGAGGCATTTCACCTTTCTTGTACTGAAGTAGCAAATGAAAAAAGGTGTAATGAATTTAGTAGGAGAAAATAGGTGTGTTATATAGATAATATAACACCTTTTTCCATTTCCATTTTTTGGGATGTTATTGTTTCAGTTATTGGAATGTTTTGGACTGTAGATGTGTTTTTGGTGGGCTGTTTTTTGTATGATGGGGAAATGGTGAGAATAAAGATGGCACTTACTGCTTGGAAGATCATTTACAACTCTGTTCAGTTCTTTTTTGCCTTGTGCTGAGTACAAATAGCATAGCATAGCACAATGCCATTCTCGGTCATGCTACTTTTCTATTCAGACCCTTTTTCTATCTTTGAAAGAGATATAAGGTTTTTTTTATTTGTTTGTTTGTTTGTGGGAGGGTATCCGCTATGATTTATTGATCCATGAGTGATTCTAAATCCTTTGTGAAACTACTTGTATACATACTTTTTGGTGTAAAGTTGCAAATAACATGGTATTTATCTTTATTCGTCTTCATGTTATCTTTTCTCATTTGATGAACCATAATAAAGTACTTTAAGTAGAATCTTGAAGAACTAAGGGGAAAAAGGCTGGCATAAAAGCTTGAATTTTGTCTCTCACAAAAAGTAGTTGAAGTTCTTTAGTGTCTTCTATGGACTATACATACATATATTATATATATATATATATATA